TAGCCAATGCATTTTAGGGGTCCACAATATTCCCCTTCATCAGGGCTAATAGGAAAGTACAGAAATACACTATATTGCCAAAAGTATTAGGGCGCCGGCCTTTACACGCACATAACCTTAATGACATCCCAGTCTTAGTCCGTAGGGTTCAGTATAGAGTTGGCTCCGCCCTTTGCGGCTATAACAGCTTCAGCTCTTCTGGGAAGGCGCCCACAAGGTTTAGGAATGTGTCTATGGGAATGTTGGACCATTTGTGAGGTCATCTTTGCATTGCACTTGGTGATGTGAGGCTTGGATGCAGCTGCTCGGCCATGGAGACCCATTCCATGAAGCTCTCTACGCACTGTTGTTGTGCCGATCAGAAGGCCGCATGGAGTTTGGAGGTCTGTAGCTATTGACTCTGCAGACAGTTGGCGACTTCTGCGCACTGTGCGCTTCAGCATGCGCTGACCACGCTCTGTCATGTTACGTGGCCGACCACTTTGTGAATGTCCACGGGGGCCTGTAGTGCAATGTCCACGGGACTAGGTTTTTTTTCTCTGAAGACACCTCGGCTTTAAGCCAAGTTTTCAACAAATGTCTATTTGGACAGGTTCCCTTTTAAAAGAAAGTTGAAACGTTTTCACATAATCAGCGATTTGGAAGGTCTATCCTTTCCAGCCAATGAAGCTTTATTATTTTACCGTCCCATAAACTATTATCACAGACTATAAATGTTATCTGCAATGTGAAAGCCATTCTTCTTTATTACCACCCCTCCTAAAACCATAAACATTGCTCCCAATTATTGATGTATTGCTCGTGTGTGAGAAATAACAGGACTTGTGTAAAATGAATTTCTTGGAGTTCATTAGGGACACAGGAACTCAGATGCAATCAGGTTATATTGCCCCCTACAGTAGTTCGGACATTCGCAAACTCCCCGCCAAGCCCCTTGGATTGTAATATATTTTAATGACAGGTAGGGGTGGAGGAATCTGTGGCCCCTCGGACTACCCTACTTGCCATTCTTTTTATTAATAATGTATTTTACATACACGCCGTCAATCCAAAAACCCTCCGAGTAAGACCCACTCGAGGCGCGCGAGGGCCGCCAGACCCACTCGAGGTGTATGGGCTGTTTGAGCTCCTTGTGGTAGTGGGACTGTCCTCTCTGTGTCTTAGTAAGTAATGCAACTAGGCCAAAAATGTGAGGCAAGTCCCCCGGTGCTCACAAACCCAGGCAGGGAGATCTTAAGGTTGGAGTATCCAAGACACATATGAAGCCAGTGATTGACTCCGCCCACCAGGCTGTACCTGTAAGTAAAAAGTGACTTTTGGGTGAACTTACCCTTTAACATGTCACTTCCTGTAATCCAAAGTAACCTTCTGTCCTTCAAAGTTATTAAACAGATGATGACCAGAACAGTGACCCGCTGACATTCACTCCTCTAATATTTTATTGTTTACAGAGAAAACTCCGAAAAATACAGAACGGCGGATCCTTACAATGTTAGGCGGGTCTCTGGGGTTGGGGGGGGTCTCGGCGGGTCTCAGTGTTGGGCGGGTGAGGACGTGAGGGCTTTCCGCAGGAGCTGCTTCTTCTGTGGTGGCAGGTGCTCCGGGAACTGAATATCAAACTGGATGATGAGGTCACCCTTCAGACTGGGGTCACCGGCCAGCCTCATGCCTTCCCCAGGAACCATCTTACTGTACTTGGGGCTGTAGAGGGAACATATTCAGATCATTAAAACAAGGCAAACCCACCGTACTAGTTCAGGTCTTTGGGTCCCCCGTACAAGATGCACATACTTACTGAACAATGTAATTTATGGGGATATTTAATATTCTCTCGTCTAATGTTTCCACTTCCACCGTGCAGCCTGTCAGAGCCTGGAACACAGCAAGAGGAATGACCCTTACTACCACTGTAATACAATGCCCCCTGCTGGTCAGAGCCTGGAACACAGCAAGAGGAATGACCCTTACTACCACTGTAATACAATGCCCCCTGCTGGTCAGAGCCTGGAACACAGCAAGAGGAATGACCCTTACTACCACTGTAATACAATGCCCCCTGCTGGTCAGAGCCTGGAACACAGCAAGAGGAATGACCCTTACTACCACTGTAATACAATGCCCCCTGCTGGTCAGAGCCTGGAACACAGCAAGAGGAATGACCCTTACTACCACTGTAATACAATGCCCCCTGCTGGTCAGAGCCTGGAACACAGCAAGAGGAATGACCCTTACTACCACTGTAATACAATGCCCCCTGCTGGTCAGAGCCTGGAACACAGCAAGAGGAATGACCCTTACTACCACTGTAATACAATGCTCCCTGCTGGTCAGAGCCTGGAACACAGCCAGAGAGGTGCAGAGGTTAATAAGGTTAATAAGGCAAATATCATGATAGTGCAGATGGATTGAAGCAGGGGTAGCCAAACGTCAGCCCTCCAGCTGTAATGAAACTACAAATCCCTTCATACATCTTCCTCTGTAAGTCCTGCCTGTGGCTGTGAGAGTCTTTCATTGCCTTATGGGACCTGTAGTTCCACAGGTGATGGAGGACCAAAGTTTGGCTCCGCCTGCTGGTTTAAAGGATAACCGTATCAAAGTGCATTTATCGTAAAAGACCTAACCCCCCCCCTCCTCCCCTCCATAGATGTATCCTTACCCTGATCCGGTGGCTGCAGTTCCCTTGTTTGTCTTTAAAGTGCACTTATCCTTTAAAGATAAAGCACTCGTAGATTCCATCAGTGATTATAGTGCCTTGCAGCTGGGGGTCCTGAGGTTCGATTATGAATAGGTGGTATAGCCATCCCGTCTCTGTTCCCTTTTAGGTCTCTGCACCTGCTGTGCTCATTATTAGAGGGTTCCCACCCAGTAAATAAGAGCCTAAGCGTTATACAGAAGATCCCTGGCACCCCATTTTCTTTGGAGACTTTAGCTGTGCAATTTGCTCATCAGTTGCTTGATTACACTCTGAGTATAATCAAGCAACTGATCAGCAGACTGCAACGTTGGGTGTTCCCAGCCACCTCTGTGTGTCCCAGATCCTCCTGTTACATTCTCCGTAATATAAAGTAAATAGGAATCAGAGTATAATTTACTTTATATTACGGAGAATGTAACAGGAGGATCTGGGACACACAGAGGTGGCTGGGAACACCCAACTTTGCAGTCTGCTGATCAGTTGCTTGATTATACTCTGAGTGTAATCAAGCAACTGATAAGAAAAGGGATCTTCTGTATAACGCTTAGGCTCTTGTAACTGCATGTTGATCGGAGGGGAACAAGGGAAGGTAATACGAGCACACTGCACTTCAACTTTACCAAAATCACAGTGGGAAGGTTTGGCGCAATGGAGGCGGGGCATTCCTGTAAGTTTTGTTATTTTTCACACTTCTTTCTCTCAATGATCCGTTTCTGCTGATCCGGCTCCCCGATCTGAACTCTTCACTCTCACACTTTCCACACGCAAACTCGTGTTAGTGGCGCCGGGCTTCCGGGAAGATATTATTGTCATTTACTGGCAGAGATCAATTCTGCTTCTCTAGCTTAGGAGAGCTGATGTTCTGCGCTCAGATCCCACAAGGGCTCTCGCATGCATGGAGTTTGTACCCTGTGCAGGTTTCATCCCGCAGTGCAAAATCAGGACTGGGCTTCCCGCTTAATAGTACTAAATAGAGGTGCACCGAAATGAACAATTTAAAACCGAAACGAAACCGAAATGAAAATAAATGTCGGGCCGAAACCAAAAAAAAATGTTTTCTAACTTTTTCTAATTTTTAAATATATTTTATTTTCATTTATTTATTATAAACTTTTGAAATATTTTTATTAAATATTTTTATTTTTGACTTTTATGGGCTTGGTGATAATATTGGGGGTATTAACAGACACCATGATATCTCCCTTTTAAAATAGAAAAAGAGATTGAGAATACAGAGTCCTCAGAGACACTGGCGGAACTACCAGGGTCGCAATTGTGACCGGGCCCTGGCGTTCCGCGTGCTGGGGGGGGGGGCCCAGCGGGGAAGAAAAGCCCCCCCCGAGATCGTGCCACTCCTTCCCTGCCACTCTGCCCGCAGCATGTACGGGCGGCTGTGCGGGAGGACTGGTCCCATAGAATGTGCTGCAGGCACCGCCGGGCAGCACATTCTGATGTGTGAGGACCCTCTTCAGTTAGCTCCGCCCCCTGGCCGCCAAGACGAGGAAGAGGGCTTCATGGTTTCTTGCACCGGGACCCTGAAGGTTCTAGTTACGCCTCTGCCCAGAGACAGAGTCCCCAATCTCTTTTTCTGCAGCCCGTGTTATCAATGAACAGGTATCCTCTATACTGAGTGTTCCTGATCATTCATAACATGAGGACAGAGTATGATTACTATAACCACAATTATGAATGAACAGGAAGTGATGTAGAGGTGATGTAGATCACTTCCCATTCATTCATAATTGAGGATATAGTAACCATACAGTTTCTCTCCTCCCCGCTGGGACACAGAGCAGCGCCCAGCGGGGAGGAGAGAAAGAAAGGGTGCGCCGATGTATTGGCAGGAAAATGGCACTTTCGGCATTTAGCCAAAAGTTCCATTTTCGGACGATATTTTTCGGTGGCCGATGTATCGGTGCATCTCTGGTACTAAATAGTGACTCTTCTTTACTATTTCTCTCTCCCGGGTCTATCAGTCAGATCATGTGACTGAAAACAAGGCACCGCCTATGTGGCTAATTAAACCTATCGCAGAGTGTGTATAGGCAGATTGTCAACTGCACTTCCAGACACCCAGACAGACACACAGACAGACAGACAGACACACAGACAGACAGACAGACAGACAGACAGACAGACACACTGACAGACAGACAGAAAGACAGACAGACAGACAGACACACTGACAGACAGACAGACACACTGACAGACAGACAGACACACAGACAGACAGACACACTGACAGACACACTGACAGACACACTGACAGACACACTGACAGACACACTGACAGACACACTGACAGACACACTGACAGACACAC